TATGTCTTTCGAAAACTTGCTTATCTCGCGGACATGCAGGTTGCACGGCAATGTTTTCCTTCACTATAAGACAAATGGTAGTATAATATTATAATATCAGAAGTGCAAGACCGGAGATTTGGACCCTCTTCACTTGGTTTCCAAAGCGAGTGTGCTACCACTGAGCTAATGAGCACCCCCAGGATGATAATATATATTTTCCCACTAATATACAATATACAGAAAATGAAAACAAAGTGTTTTGAATCGCTTTCCTCTCGTGGCAGATGTTTCTCTTATTCGTCGGGACGATGGCAACATTAAGCTAGCTCAGACTGCGCGGAGATTCTGTTAATCGTCTTTATTTTATGAAGGAACCGCTTTGGTGACCTATTTCGTTTATGTGTTACTTTCGTTACTTGTATTTAACATAAATGTAACTTAAAATTTATAGTTTCAGCAAAACTAGTCTAGATGATTGTTTTTTGTATAGTTATGCTTAAGTTAGACTATGGAACCAGTATTTTCTGTGACATATTGATCTTTTTTACTTCTTCTTCAAGTACCTCTCCATTACTAAAGGTCGGCAGTCATCTTCCTAAATTTTTCTTTGTTCAGGGCTAGCCGGAACAGATCTTCAACTGTCCCGGTCCATTGTCGGATGTTGCAGAGTCAAGGCATCTTCCTTTCTTCTTATCTTTTTTACTAACTTATCAATTGGCCTATTCTTGCGCAAGACCGCACAACTTGGAAACGTAGGAGGGAGGCTTTTGCCCAGCAGTGAAATGATGTAGGCTAACAGTAATTTACTTACATAAATAATGGATAACTAGTTATCTTAGTTTTGGGAAAATTTGTATGACTAATAAACTTGAGATAAACTTTTAATGTGGAGATATACCGGTATGAGCCAACGTTATCAAGTAACTATTTCTTGACTTTGTAGTTAAAATGAAATATTGCAACCGCCTTTGTCTCTTAAAGTAAGGTGCCGATTGTTCCAAGCTGAATTCTTTGAAATAAAACTAGACTACTTAAAAGAGATTGTATTTTTGTCGCCAGAGTTTCTACAAATGAATGTCTAGCATTGTTTTTTAAGACGTTGTTTATTCGACTTTCGCAAAGAAAATGGTCGAATCCGTGCAATGTAACCATATGTTTTTATTTTATTAATCGTGTAGTTTAGTCAAATAAGATCTTACCTTTAGAATGAAAGATAAAGTTTAAACTTGTATTCAGTTTTATTATGGCTGCTTATTAATTGGCATAAAAAACTCATATTATAGTCTCGTGTACACGTCACAAGTCAGAGGATAAAGGCCACAAAAATATGTGTTTATATAATACTTTCTTAGATTTACGCGAATATTTGACATTTTAAATAAAACTATCTTTTCTGATTTTTTGCTAAAAATTACTTTTGAAGTAAATGCAAAAGTAAAGGATGAAATCTTCTACTTCTGTTTGAAGCAATATTTTATACGATCAATCGTTTTTGGGATAGAGTGTGAAGTAAGAAGTATTTAGACGTATGTATAGTAGTGTTATATTATATATAATATAAAAAAATATTTTTAAAAACAAGCTTTTATATCATATAAATTCAAAATTGTGTAATGAGTTTGATTTAATTTAATATTTATTTTTTAGGTATTTATTCGTATTCTTCTCAGCAAACCCTTTCATTTGATATCCATATCATGGGGGTGCATAAGAATATGTTGTTGCCATATTGGATTTAGAATGACGTCACTTATCTAACCCTGCATTGTCATCCAAACGTGTATGCAAAATTTCAACTCAATCGGTTGAGGATAACTGCTTTAAAATTCAGTGGCAAGATTCGACCCGAACAAACATACATACAAACATTGCGAGTTAAATAAAAGCTTGTAAAAATGGGCTTACTACCAAATGATTAGGATTTTTTTACAAAATAAAATGAAAGTACATATATGGACCAAAGATATTTTATCTCTAAGAGATTTCTTCAAGAGACCCTTTAGATGTGAGAAAATTATTTAATTTAGTGCAGTGTAGGTACAGTATATTGACAATATTAGTTGGCATAAACTTAATATTATAATGTATCAATGAATTATACCTAATTGCATATAATATGTAATTTAGGTAAGTATAATTCCAATAACTATAATTATACTTGTAAAATTGGCAGTCAAGATATAAAAAAGGACCTAATAGAGTTGTTGCAACGTGGACAGATGGAATGAAGTAACTTTATTAGTCTTCATAAATGTATAATAAAACGACGAGTGCTAGCTTAAAACGCGTATAAGTGGAGCCCAAGAGGGGATTTCAGGATTTACTCGCAGCAGCCTTGCACTCTTTTGAGTACCTCCGTATATAAGTCCTCTGTATAAGATCGCGCGTCTAGGGCAGCCGATCAAAAAAATTAAAAAATATTAGTCCATAGAGTTTATAGACATTTTTTGTTTCTTCGGCTTGTGAAAATCAGTAGATTATTGAATTGCACACATTTCAGCATGTATTTAGTCCACCACAGCTTAATCTGACAGTTTCAAGTATTTCTAACTTATCAAAATATTTTTTTAAATATTAATATAACAGAGGATTTATTAATACAACATATGTACATTTCTCCAAATTTTTGCTATGTGAGCATCTAACCGCTAAACTCCGATGCCACATATTAAGAGTCTATCTCAGAAGTAGGTCAGGTAGGCCAAGTAAAATTCGGTGTAACAGCACACAGTTCTTATTATTTTATACAGAGTTAGAGTAATGCCTCCAACGACATTACAAAAAGGAATGACGCATGATGCATTATTTAAAAGTCATGAAACAAAATACAACGCTGCTACCGCCCTTTTTCCACTCAAGTTGACAACGTCAGAAAACTCAAATAAGTCTTTTATATCAGAATGACAACATAAAGAATAAAATAATGAATCTACAATAATACATATAAATCCTATTTTATATAATTATTAATTTATATTATTTTTAGTTTAACACACATTACATTCACGTCTTACTTTTACGCTCTAATTTTTTGAAGTTGTTTAAAGACATACATATTAGGTCTAATTTTTTTGGCTTTTTATATTAGTAAAGAATTATTAAATTTCAAGCAAGTTAGATATTTATAGTCTGCCTAAGCGAAGATATATCACCAGTGGATATAAACATCTCATAAAATATTCTAACCAAAATCGAAAGAAAGTACCAGTGCATAATACTCGTAATTACGCTATTTTTCTTTATGGCAATACCGGGTATGCCATAAAACACGCAATTTCAAGACAATTTATAACTTTTTTTTCCTAACGATTAGCGCTACGGTATGGCAACACATGAATTTGAATGATAACATTACATAAAGGCGTGTGCACACTCTGTAACGTCTCGCACCGTCGCCCTGGCCATCTTCATATTTATAAGAAGAAAAGTAGCAATTTTAAACCTTATTTTTTGAGTAATAAGTACTAAGTTAAATGGAGCTTAAACTCCATTTAACTTGGGGGGAGTGTTTTTAGTGAATTTGTGTTGAGTTTTGGTGCGCTACTAGTCTTGTTTGTTTGAAAAGTAAAATTGTTTTATTTTGGTTTTTTTACAGTTGCGTGCTTAAAGTTTATTTATTGCCATATCGTTGAAGTAAAGAATGTTTTTTTTTTAATTCGAGACAATACAGCAGAAGATGAATATTTATAATCTTATATTTTGTAATTTTAAATGTAGAATGAATTTAATAATAAGAGTGAAATAAAAAAGAGAGTTATTTCTATTGTACTACTTTGAACCAGCGGCTTTGCACGCGTGATGTTGGGCAAAATAGTGTGTCAGTTCCGTTCAGTAGTTCCAGAGAATACACACCATGCAAACAAATTAACAAGCATATATTTTTACGACATTAAATTAATAAAACTATCTTTTGGGGTTTTTTCGCACATTTATTTTGATTTTTGGTTCCCGACGTTTCGAATGCTTTACAGCAATCATGGTCACGGGAGAGACTAAGGTTTTAGACCTCTTAAAGGTCATTAAATACATGTTACAGACAACTACTGAGATAGAGAATGACTACTTATAACTATAGGTATCTCTGATATCTTTAACACCTCCAGGTAAATTTCTAAGAAATCTATTGTTAACTGTTACGCCGGCGTGTCCGCGGTCGTGGAGGGTCTAACATTATTTCTTCTTTTCCTTTATTTTAAGATAATGCGCGTTAATCCGTATTATTAATATTATAAAAGAGAAATGTGAAAGTTTGTGTGTATGTATGGATGTTTGTTACTCCTTCACGCCAGAACGGCTGAACGGATCTGAATTAAATTTGGCACAGAGATAGGTTATAGTCCGGATAAAGGCTACTTTTTATCACGGAAAAATGGATAGGTTTGCTTTTGTTTTCTTAGGGGTGAACCTGAGCGAAGCGAGGGTGAGCCGCTAGTACTAAATAATTCAATTATCGGACCCGCGCGCTATACTTAGTAAATTTACTAAAAACGTGTTAGTAATATCTATACAATTTCAATATCTAATTATTTTTAGTGTGGTTTGTGTTAGCATTATAAGGCTGGGTTATTCAGAGAAGTACTATCCGCTTTTAGAAAATAGACATAAATATGCTCCCCCCTCGACCCTTCCATTCTATTTCCATCACATCTGCATTATAGCGAATAATATAATTTATAACGATTCAATCATTGCGTAGGTTGTCAGCTAACTTTGCCCATTTCATATTAGATACGATAAGGATTTATTTATTTTATATTTATTTGATAAGTCATAATTTAAGGTTAGTAAATAATTGTGATAAAAGCCCTTTTTAAGGCCCCATTGCACTAATACTTGTTTCTCCTTAATGCGAAGGGGGTAAGGTCCGCGCTGGAATTTACACTTCTTTAAATTGTAGGTAGGGTATTGTAGAAATCCACTTTTTTTTAAGTTTTTTTTACTTTTTTACTTTCCATATGCCCTCGATTTGTTAAAATTTAGGAAAAATGATGTAAAAAAACACATTATTCTAATTCCAGGCCCCGAAGGCGGTCAGGTTCGAGTATCATCGTACTGGGAGCCGAGGAGGAGAAACGACCGCCGCCGGATGAAGAAGCCGACATGCTCACCATGCTCTCACTCACATCGGATACCGGTAAGGATTTAAAATATAGAACTTAAACTAACATAACCCGCGGCCTCGACCGCGTTCAGATTACCAAAAAACCAAATTCTTAGGTTTTACATATTAGTATACTCTTACATTGCAGTTTTTGTATTTTTTTCTCAGAAATGAGACATTTTCCCGCGGTAAAAAGGATTCTATATGTTGACCCGGATAACCAGCTATCACCATACCAAATTCTATCAAAATCCCTCCAGTGGTTTTTCTGATTGGTGAATTCTGGTGATGCGGTAACAGACAGACAAAAATTCTAAAAACTAAAGATTCGGCCTCTGTATCGATAATAATGTTTATTTCAATAAGATTTTCCAAAATATATTTAATGTACAGATTCGGCTTAGTACAGTTTTATTATGTGTATAGATTAAATATTTTTTTGACGTTTTAAATTCTTAGGAATCAAAAATTTCAACTAAAACTGTGATAAAGTCCGAACGGATAGTTTCACAATGTCAAATATTCGCGTTAATCTAAGAAAGTATTATAGACGCAAATTACTTAATACCACACTAATAATGCTTTGGAATTTTCTACAACCCCTTGATTTCTAAAATAAAATTATTTGAATAATATCACATATTAAAATGTATGTATATAAATAAAGACAAAACAATTCAGTACATTTTTCTCTTTTGTTTGTCAATCTTTTTTTTACTAGTAGTTATTGACAAGATTTAGTTGTTAGATATCAATAAAAAAATTAAAAAAGTGTTTTTCTTTTAATATAGTTACGTGAATTCTATTCATAATTATACATGTTTTCGTCAAATTTTCAATAACGATTATCTTCTAATTTTGACCACTCCACCACCATTTATTAAATAATTAGTTGCTTCGCAATCTTCTTAAGTTGCATATTTAGATTTTGGCAATCGATAAAAGTAAAACTTGGCTTTGACCGACTTCAAAAAAGAAGGAGGAGCTTTTTATCGATATTTTGCCGATTGTGAATGGATTTTTTCTTTTTTTTTATTGTGAATATATATGCGCAGAATAATAAACGTTCATACATTTTAGTTCTTACTTATTTATTATGACCGTTATACATTGTCTTCTCCATGCGTTATTAGCATAGTCAGGAAACAATACGTTATTTTTATAACTCCATTTGCATCATACCTGCGTCATCCAAAGTAACTATGTAATAATATATAGATATTTGAACAATGTCTTGAAAATGTCATGATGCTCTGATATCTTTCTGATGCTTTCGCCAGTTCTTCTCAGGTCTGAGGCTTCTTCTTTCCGAACTGGTAGTAGACTCATGACGTTCAGTAAAAAATTGTAATAATTTAATGCTGATTAAAATATTTTGAATTTTGAATTTTATTAATCAGGTATGGCCATTCGATTCTCGGTTCACGTATAGTGAGGTATATTTGAACTAGCGACCACTTTCTCTGAGCGCATATTTCTATAGATTGTTACTATTTGAATGTTTATACTTTTACGAAAACAATTATATACGACATTGCTGCTGGTAAAATGTAGAGCTACAGCTATATTATTATAGTATCGATACCGGGTTTGAATAAAAGAACACAGGTTTTATTTTGAACTAACTTTTGCCCGTAACTCCGCTTGCGTGGTAGCGTCGTGGTGGTGGACAAAACGAAGGTTATAGAAGTTTATAAAGCTTTTTTGGCTTTTTTAGATATACGCGAATATTTAACATATTGAATTTAACGATTTTTAGTTCCCGACGCGACGTTTGGAATGCTTTACAGCAATCATGGTCACGGGAGAATACATCCAAAGAAAGAAAATATAGTCTTATTTTAAAAAGGAGAATATATGTTAAACATAAACTATATCTATGATGAATTTTATTCAAATCTGTTTCGCAATTACAGCATGAAGAAGTAATAAACATACATATTCGTAAAATGTTTGATCATAATCATGTTATTTTCGATTTAATTACGATAAAGCGTCAACACACACAAAAAATGTCTCAACAAAAGTGTGGGAGTACGGCAAAGTCAGAAGTCTTTATTAGCTCAAAATATACCAAAAACAGATACGTATAAATAGATGTAAATACTACGTAATTTTTAGTAGCAAAAAGCTTGATTGTTTATAGTTTTTAGTCTTCTAGGTCATGGTTTTGAAGCTGCGATGAAAACACCGTAGCATATTTATATGGAAAGAAAAGATACGGGCCGTATCAAATCCATTGAGGAGAAAACTCCGATTCGACACACTTAGGTCTACTTATTTTTTATTTCATATTCTGTATTCTTATGTATGTTGGGACATTAACACACAGAACCATCTAGTTCCATGGTAAGCTACTAGGCTTGTGTTATGGATACCAGATAGTTAATACACACAATACACATATATAACTTTTTTCGCCACGTCATTCATTATACGTGCGGCTAAGGATTGGAACAACCTGCCGGCGTCGGTGTTTCCGTCCGAGTACAACATGGGTGTCTTCAAGGCAAGAGTGAATAGGTGGCTACTGAATTAGTGTGACTTACCATCTACGACTGCGTTACCACTTACCATCAGGTGGAACGCAGTCAAGCACTAATTCAGAATACAATAAAAAAAAAAAAAAAAAAAAAACAGATATTATAAATATAAACGCCCATGACTGGAGTACAAACATTCGTGCTCATCACACAAATGAATGCCCCCAGCGGGACTCGAACCCGCGACCGCTGTCACGCAGTGGGCTTACTATAAACTGAGCCAAACATGTCGTCAAAATTTTTAGCGTAAAAATTTTTAAGCGGACCTGATAGGATAATTAAAAAATTAGAGCTGAGAACCATTCAGGTCATCACAAATACACAAAAAAATCATCAGAATTAGTCTAATCGTTCAGAATGAGATAGATAGTTAATGTCATAGATTAGGGCATAGGCTTTGTATCCTAGAACAAGTATGATCGATGATCAATGGTTTCCGTGAGAAATAAATACATTAAAGAGAGTTATCAAAGACAAAGAGCGGGTTGTAGTCCCCAAGCGAAGAGAAGGTAATGTCTCATATAATAATAAAAAATATATAGTTTTTATGTCAACAATATAAAGCACTTCGACGCCTAAGTACCTTTCGTTGGAATTAGATTTTTTTTGGGGAATAAAAGTATCTAGTAGTAAGTATCGTTACATTTGTATTCAGCCCTTTTTAAAGGTCCCACTGCTGGGCACAGGCCTCCCTTCGATACGAGGGGGATCAGGCCATAGTCCACCACGCTGGCCAAGTGCGAGAGTACTTCACATGTTTTTGTAAACTTGCTAGGTTCTCTCAGACATGTAGGCTCACGATGTTTTCCTTTACCGTAAGTTAGTTGGTAATCATGTTAGAAATTATTCGCACATGAAAATATTAGAGGTGCGAGGCCCGGGATTTGAACCCGCTTCACTTGGTTTCCCAAGCAAGCGCGTTTACATTTATAATATAAGAATTTAATATACAATAGAAAGCACAATTGCTCATACATTCATATTAATATATGTAGATTTATCTTTACACAAATTTCATTTTCATACATTTTATACTTTATTATATAAATTTTAAGCAATTTTCACCATAATCCAAAGAGATGATGTACAAGTAAAAGTAGATTGTTAAAAAGTTTGCAGCCGGCTTTAATAAGTGGCGAGTTGGTTAGCCACAGTCTGGTGCCTTCGCACAGTTTTTGCTTACCTTTTTTATTATTTATAAGTTTCATGAAAGATAGATTAAATCTAGAACTTTCTATGTATATGATACCGAAAAAAATTAAAATTCCAGAGCCATATTTTAAGCAAAAATTAATATGTGTAATTTCTCCTGTAAATATCATCGAAAGATGAATAAAACTAAAAAAAATGTATTTATAATTTTGGTTACCATTTTCTCGGCGTTTTCTTTTACCACATTCCTTAACTAAACGATTAAATCACTTTAACTATACTACTCGTATTATTATAAAGAGGTAAAGTTTGTGAGTTTGTGACGTATGGGGTGATCTCTGAATCTACTGAAGCGATTTAGATGAAATTTGGAAAGAAGATAGTTTGAAACCCTGAGCAGGATATAGCATACCTTTTATCCCGAAAATCATCCCTTAAAGGGGATGAAAGTTTGCATTGGGAATCATGCTAGGGATGAGCCCGAGCGAAGCGAGGGTGAGTCGCCAGTATTTACTAAATCTGTAATTAAAATTTGCATTTTTAGGTAATATCGAAAAACAAAAAAAATATATTAAAATACGTACATAAATATGTTTTATTTTTTATGCATAAGTTTTTTCTTCAGAATATGATATTATCGTTGGGAATTTTACAGGCGGAAATCATATTTTTTATAAACTAGTATTCTACATGTGTGCTGATTGAGATGATCTCCACAGATCTTTTCATATTCATAAAAAAATCATCAAAAATAATAAAACCAATCAAGCAAATTCAGCATTTACGAATATTACTATGGATTTAATCCATACTAATATTATAAATGTGAAAGTGTGTTTGTTTGTCCTTCTTTCACGTCAAAACAGACTGATGGATTGGTGTGACTTTTTTGTGTGGAGATAGTTGGAGGGCTGGAGACTGACATAGGCTTTACTGACTGACATACTTTTTACCACGGGAGATTATTTCATTCCTACGGGAAAACACGTTATAATACAACCCAAAAAAAATTAGGATCAAAATTACTTGAAACTTGGTATTAATGCTCTTCAATACAATTAAATAAATACGTGTTTAAGCATTTTTCGAAATTCATCTTATAAGAGAATAAAATAGGGGATGAAAGTTTGTATGGCACCTACCTTTTTAGACTTTTTTTGTAGATTTAGCGCGAGCGAAGCTGCGGGTTTTGCTAGTAATTATATTTTTGGTTCATAAATGCAAGACAGCCTTAGCATAGCTAAGACTCACCTAATTACTCGACATTGAAGAATTGCGTGATAGATCGACGTAATATCGTGACCTTCGTAGAACAATAGAGCAAAAAATAAGGAAAATTATGTGCGGTACTACTAATTAATTTTTATTATTATGAATTTTGTTTCATACTCTTTTCTTGTATTGAACATCTTTTATATATTATTAATCGCGTCCTATGATTTATATCTATATAATTAGTACTAGCGATTTAACCTTGCCTCACTCGTGTGTTTCCACATTTGTCCTTTGTACTTATTATATTACTAGCAGGACCCGCGGCTTCGCTCGCGCTAAAACTCATCCCCTATTTTACCCCCTTATGGGATGAATTTCGAAAAATGCTAAAAAACATTTTTATTTAAACGTATTGAAGAGCGTTCTTAGCAAGTTTCAAGTAATTTTAATCATAATTATTTTTTGGGTTGCATTATAATGTATTTTCCCGTGGGAACGAGATAATCTCCCGCGGTAAAAAATAGCCTATGTCACTTTCCAGCCCTCCAGCTGTCTCCACACGAAAAATTACGCTATAAACCGTCAACCCGTTTCGACTTGAAAGAAGGACAAACAAACAAACCCACTTTCACATTTATAATATTAGTAGGGATTATTGTACAGACATTGACATCTTTTGGCAAACTTTTATTGCTAATAAAGTATTAAGTACACAGAAATCTTAATAATAAGGTAATATTAAGATTTCTGTGATTAAGTATGTTACTTCAGCTCATAGTCTATTTGTTTACCAAATTTCATCTAAATTCGTACAGCCTTTTTAACGTGAGGATGTGATAAACATACATACAAATTGCCTACATGGATTTATTATAGTAGGATGAATTTGATTCCATGCAGAAAGAATAATCACGGTTTTGCATCTACAATCCATCAAGTACGTGGAAAAGCGTGAATAGTCACTGTCCTGTCTGTACATTGAGTTCTATATAGTGATTTTATGTTATGTATTTTTTAAAACAAATATCAACTCAAATTTTAACTTACTCCATTTCACTATATATGTAAAAGTTGGCTATACTTATAAAAAATAAGATATCTGCTTGAATTATAATCAACCCTAAGTTCAGGTCATGTGTTATATAAAAACAGTTTGACTACCTAAATTAAAACGTGTCTTTTCCATTCTATGCGACAATGGCGAAGTAAACTGTGCCCAACTGAGGACAATGTAATTCAATGAGAACGCAAGCGAAGCCATAGGCTAGCTACTTATAAGTAAAAATAACTTTGAAAATATAAATAACATATTTAACGTAAATAGCTTACTTTATTTATATAATATTATATGATCTAAGGATAATCTAACCTAAGCTAAATTAAAGTCTGTGGGCCATTTCACGAGTGAGTGAAAAGTATTTCCGTTAATGGGTTGCGAAGTACATGGAGGCCATAACCTATATTGAATACCAGCCTACTCATTACATATAATAAACATTACAATTTAAAGATAAACTAAATATACATCTGTACTAGCATTTGTTCATGACTCTGCCTGCGTAGTTTAAAAGTAATATATGTATGTATTCAGTTCTTTTTAACGTCCCACTGCTGGGCAGGGGTCTCCTATCAATACGAGGAGGATCAGGCCATAGTCCATCACCCTGGCCAAGAGCAGGAGAGACTTCACATGTCTTTCGAAAATTTGCTAGGTTCTCTCAGGCATGCAGGTTTCCTTACGATGTTTTTCTTCCCGTAGGAAAAGTTATAATTATGTTGGAAATGATTCGCACATTAAAATATCAGAGGTGGGAGACCAGGATTTGTACCCGCTTCATTCGGTTTTCCAATCGAGCGTTTTTTTATCCATATAGTAGCCTATGTTTTAATTCCGGTTAAAAGCTATCTTCACTCTGTAATAAACATATTTTAATTTATAATATTAAGTACTATTATAATAATCGAGTGTTCTATTACATTTATCTTTTTAATTTATTTTTTTCATTCATAAGTTGTGTAGAACACTGCATACATTCAGGCTATGGCCCACCAACCGTTACGTCCGGGTCGCTGGCTTTGCTTATCGAAATATTCCCACTTTAGATAAAATCTTTAACGCTAATTGGATGCTGCGGATTGTGTAAATATTTCAGACGAAAAATTGATACTAGATTAAAGTTGCCTTAGCTTTTTATTGCCTATTGTTCCTATTTACCTAATGTTTATTTGTGACATTAAAAATACTGTAAAATTTTATACCACATTTATAAGTATTACACTAACCACACTCACAGGACGCCGGCAAAAGTTACTTAAATAACTTTAACTTTAAGAGCTTTTAAATAAACTCATTTTTATTTTGGGTAACTTGTTTTGTACTAATTAATTTTAGTTACTTGTTATTAAAATTCACCTATTTTTCATTCCAGGCCCCCACCGCGAGATGGCGGTGGACGTCCCGGACAGTTTCATCGCTAGAAACAAAACACCCCCTCGGTACCCCCCTCCTCGGCCGCCACAGGTACGACTCAGAAGGGATGAGGAGCCTCTATTATCCTCCGGGGGGTCCGGCACTTCCTTTGGGAGTAAACAAAGCACTGTCCTCCAAAGCACGATAGACATATCCGGTCCTAGCTCAGACGGGTCGGGTAGTTTCAAGAACAATAGCACCATAGAATTACTGTCACTCCCCCAAAGTTCTGACGGTTCGGTCAGTTTTGGCAGCAAAAAAAGCAAAGGCTCATCACAAACCACGAAATGTGATTTGAACTCTGAAAGATCGGAGTCAGTAGCGTCTAACATCACTCATAACTTAAGCGATCACAAGATACAATTGCTGATTTCTAACGGAGAAGATTCTTTATTAGATTGTAGAGAAGGTGTCACATATTCTGCGAGGACTGACTCTGTTTTGATCAGAGAAGCTGTGTATGCTTCGTACAAGCTACCTCCAGGGTTTGACACAACACCTGTGCTGCTAGGGCGGGAGGTGGCCGTGGATGTGCCAGATAGTTTTGTGCAAATTGTGAAAACAACACCCAAGTATCCCGGTACCGTGGACAAAAAGGTCCTTCAGGTAAACACAGCGCATGGTTCCATCGGGTTGGGTTTGAATTTGGGTGATTGGGGAGTAGACTGTGCCTGTTCAAAAATTCGGCCGGAAATACTAGTTTATTGTTTTTATTATTCATTTTTTTTTATTTTTTAATATTAGAAGTCATAAGGTACGTTTTTAGTGTTTATGCTTAGTTGTCTTTATAATTGTAGTGCAAGGTATCATTACTAATAATATCCATATTAAATGCAATTAAACACTTTATTAACGTACTATTTGAAAAGTCAAATAACTCATAAAAGGACGCGAAATTCTTAGAACACACATATTATTTAATAATATACAAGGTATTTTAGTAAATTTTTTAACAGGCACGAGTAGAAATGATTGGAATTGGACTTATATACTAACAAGCTTATGACTGTGGGTTCACTAACATCAGTAGGGGGATGGGTGGTGTTTAAGTATCGTTTCGTAAAACAATTACAATAAAATATATGTATACTGAACCATTTTTGCAAAAAAAAATTGTTTGAGACTACCATATCTCAAACTCCTATAAGCCCTGAAGGGGATGAAAGTATAATATTTCACCGTTGTATGTATTAATCCCTCCACGACCGCGGACACGCCCGCGTTACAGTTGACAATATGTGATTTCTTAGAAATTTAACTAATTTCTTAAGAAATTTACCTGGAGGTGTTAATTGATGTTTTATTATTAATTTTACAAACACGCCATATTATATTATACAATAAAAATTATAGTATTCATATAATTATAATAATGTTAATGTATACTTTACCAATAATTGTTTTACGGAACTAATTTATGCACTTTTATTTATTTATAATCATTATTTATTAATACTACATTTATATAATCATTAAGCGCTAGAATCACAGTATAGTTTGTATGAACATTCATATCATTCAAGAATCAAACCTTTACTTTTCATCGTACTAAGTAAGTCAAATAAGTACCCTACTGCGCCATATACATATATCCAAAAAAATTTTTTTTTGAACTGACAACACATTCAAATACTTTATAGAAGCGCTGTTTATTTTTTTTTAAATGTGACGAAAGTGCAAAACTTTCATATGTTTCTCACATATGCAAGTAATTACATGTATATAATTATTACTATTACGAATAAAAACACAATCATTTTCGGTTCCACTTTCATTTTTCACTATTAAAAAGTTAAATGATCATTTCATACCATTAATTCACGCTTGCTGCACAGATGTCCGCGGTAACGAGATACATTATGAAAATTAATTTTAATAAATAAATATTATTAATATATATTAGTATTTTTATGTATTATAATTATAATATTTTATTTTGGGGGACTTTCGAATATATGATTGTTAAATGTTAAAAGTTTTTTACAGATAAGTAAATAAAAAAAAATACTAAAATTTTATTCGAAATTCACTTACTTATTATTAATATAGAGGAAGAGCCCGTGAACGCCAGACCTTCGTCATTTTATAAAGGCTGAAAGTTTGTCAGCGCATGAAAAATGTTCCAAACAAGTTGGGAGGCATTTCTAAGAAAATGTTGCAAATGGTCACCAAATTTAAAGCGCTAAGAATTGACTTTATTTTTGATGGTGTGTAATAAATGCTATGCTAGCAGTCTTATAAATCATCTAATTATTACCCAAGTCTAATATATAAAAATCAGCTTTTATACTATAACGTAAGTAGAATTATGATTTCATGAAAAAGGGTGTCTGGCAAGGGTTTGCCACGATGTTAAGTGTCTGGCATTGAATGACGTGATTTTTAATAATATTCTGAAGGTAATACCAAAAATCACACTTTATTATTTGACGAATTTAGATCAGTATTTTACACACCTTTAGTACCGTGCACCTGCCAAAGCCACCATAGCCTGAACTTCATAATGGTCCATCGTTCTTATCTGTGTTGGGAGCATGCGCTGACAAACTTTCAGCTTTTATAAAATGACGAAGGTCTGGCGTTCACAGGCTCTTAGGCAATTATATTAAAAATATAAAATAAAAATTACAAATTTATGTTTTCACAATTGTATTATGATTAATAATTAATTTATTTAACTACAAAACTAAATCGATGAAAATTAAATCAAATTCATTATCTAATAAAAATCTAAAAATAATGTATATATGTAATTATAATAATGTACATAATGTAAAATATAATATTATAATTTATGTATTATGAACTTTTCGTTTCGACTCCGATCTTTCATATCTCAAACTAATGGGTGCTATTTCCTTCCAGGATTATAATAAAGTGTCAATAATCATAAACAAATATAATTTAAGCTTCTTTCAGATGACTGAGGATATATATAATATAGAATTAGAAATTTATTTAGATCGTCGTCTGAAGATGTTAAATAATTAACATATTTAATTTAAAAGTACTAAAGTTAATCTATCTTTTCGGTTTTTTCGCGGATTCATTTGATTTTTGGTTCTAAAAATCTAAGTAATTCAATGGATCCAAAAATCAAAATAAATCGCAAAAATATAATTTCATGTTAGAATGTCAAATATTCGTGTAGGTAAATCGAAAGCACTAAATAATTTTCGACTCGATGTGTACATTTTTAACATCTTTAGACGATGATAAGAAGTTAATATTTAGTATATAATTTTATTTGGAAAATATATGTATGTAAATAATTATATGTATATAAGTGGAAGTCAAATTAGTGTCCGTTTTAAGTGCAATGGGGTTTAGACAAGATTCTGCAATCGTTACAGAATAGACATTTTAATAATTGTATTGAAATGACTAAAATCGTTAAGTAATAGAATTATTATTAGAATTTTATATCATTTCCGTAGATATAGAGAGTGGAGGGAGTGTTTCTTTGCCAGCCTTCAGTTAAAAATGGTGGAAAAGCGCGACAGAGATAAAACGAATGTACGGCCAGAAGTCTCCTGTATTAATTGAAATGCGATTCGTGAAGATAGATATTTATAACCATTTTATATTCCATTACGATATTATACTTTGCAATGACATTATATATTTTTTTCATTCCATTTATAAATTTAAATTGTAAAAAAAAGACAGGTATTAGCCGCACGTTCGCCTTCTCTCTTTCTAAAGAGTGGTTAATTTCATTACAGTATTGCTCAGTCCATACTCTATATCTAGGTCATTGCCATGTACTTTTTTAGATTTCTTTTCTCCACTGATTGTAGAATAACATCTTGTTTAAGCTCAATATTTTTTAATGTTGGGAAATGCATTTACGCATACCACCTGTATACATACAGGTGGTTATGTGGGACTCACCGGCTAGAAACTCAAGTACTACCCACTAAAACCCAACAGAACCTCCCCCGTCTTAATAGGGAGTCGAAGCTCTATATATACGATGACTTAAAAACGGATGTTGTTTTGGTTTCAACTTTCTCTAGTATAAGGTAGTTTAAAGAGAAGTAAAAGGGAATTGATTACTTGCATGTACCATGGTGAGGAATATCCATAAATTTTGGGGTTAGCATGTGAAAATAATAGTGTTATATATTGTTATATATTAGAATATAAGGACATCGTATCTTTTGTAATATTTAATATAATTAAATACTTTTTAAGTGGTCTTGTAGGGTAATTTTGACGGTGTATAGACTTTGAATTGTCATTATAAAAACAAATAGCATTCTAATAGATTATATGCGATTTTAATGTTATTAACAGTATAAAGTGCCTCGCTAGTCTCGTGGCTATAACAGAGGTAATCATAAGCAAATCTTGTACTTTTAGGTTCAAGGCCTGGGCTGTGCCAAGAATAGGCGGTTTTTCTATCAAAGAAAGTTTTTTTTTTCAGAATTTCAGTAGCAGCTTAAAGTTTAGATGGTGTTACTCTTCTGAATTTCGCTATTAAATTATTGCCATTATTGAAATCGCTTGATTTATAAGTTGAGGGGATAGAGAATATGCTTCAAGGGAAAATCTTTTTTTTAAAGAAACCATTTTTCTGTATGGGGATACATATCAATAACAATACAATATTATAAAGAGCTAGGTGTCTTTGGTATTAAATTACATTAAATTTAAATGCTAAAGTTAATACATAATGTTTTTAACACCTTTATGCTGTAAAAGGTCAACGTATTAAAATGTAAACAAATTATATCTTAGATTACCCAAAGACAACTTTTTTATCGACATACTTACCTATCCACTCCACGAGACACGAAGCTGCGACTAAAAATAGTTTATAATATCATTTATTATAAAGATACTTATAGAAAAGACTAATATTGGTAAAAGTCAAAATTATCCTACACCACTAATTTTTTTCGTCTAAAAATGTTAACTTGTTGTCATAGAAAGCTCAATACATTTATTTTTATTTTAGGGCTAATTGTATTATACTCTTAATTTGATTTAAACGTCTAATAATTTTTAGCAAACATCAAAATATACTGTTTTAGACTCAAATTAGTTTACCGACCAATATCTCTCGTGTCTTCTCCATTTTACATTTTAAAAAAAATATATCACTTGCGCACAGTCACGCCATGTGCTCAACTGGCAAGTTCTGGCAAGAAAATTAAATTTTATTGATTTAAATTAAGAGGATCGTGGGAAGTGGCCCTTTGTTTATATAGATTTATTTTATTAAATAAAAAATCAAACCAGCTTAACAGTTTTAGACGATTAATTAAAAATTACATCTTTGTAAAATTTATTTCTGTATATTTTGTCTTGTAATAAGTCATTTATAAAATTATACTTTTAGGGTTTGTGGGATTGGAAAGGTTTACCTTAGTATATGTACTGGTATTCTATTTAAATTGTTGGTATGTTATTTTTATAATCTGACATATTTATAATATTTTGTATGTTTTTCAGTTGTAAGTACTCCCAAAAATTTCTTGATATAAGAAACTCTATTTGTCCTACTGGAATCAAAGTGGCGACTTACGGTGCAATAATGATCTCAATCTTAAATAAATCTTAAAAAATTAAAATTTCTGGTCAAACAATTTATCATAACTTGAGTGTTCTGTATGTTTACTATTTAAACAAATTTTCATGAATAAAACCGTAAAGTAAATAATAAAATAATATCAATTAGTAACTTTGACATAACATATAAATAAATACAAATCAAATATTTGATATATGTAAATTACTATTTACATATACAAATTGTTATTTTCTAAATAGCAGGTGAATGGCACAGCGAAAGGCGCGCCCGCAGTGCCCCCTCGCGAAGCCCCCCGCGACGCTCCACCGAGACCCCCCGCACACGATATAACTAAGGACCAAATAGATTCCATCAAAAAATATCAGGTAAGTGTAGAATAAGGTGTACAAAATAGTAAATAATTTAAAAAAGCTATATAAAAGGTATATTTTAATGTTTTTTTATAATAAAATATGGCATTTAGTACATTTTGGGGATAGGAAAGTTGGCAACTTTCTTACTAGAAATGATTGGAAATTGATAAAAAATAACTATTATTAATTATTATTTATTTGGATAATCGTCTTCGATCATTACAATAGCGTTGCTGTGTATGAACATATACATATTTTTACGTTTTAGTACAATTTAAACTAAACATGACGTTAATACTACAAGTTCTATTAAGAACTACATAGATCTGTCAATAGATGGCGTTAGTAGTATGTAAAATAACTTTCCTACACTTAAGTTTATTTAAATAAATATAAAAAATATATAATATAAAAATAATTAACTATTTAGTGTATAACATTTATAATGCTTGCATTTTCTCTATGTAGAATGGTATTATTATACTATTTCAGACTTTAAATACTGTCTTCTGTGCTCTCTGCCTATTTTATTCTTATAGTCTTACGTTTACTCAATAGAATCAATAAAATTTATCTTTTTAATTTGGATTGGTTAAAATAAAAAAAAATCGTCTAGTTATTTTCAGTTTCGATTAAACAAACGTACAAAATTTCTGAAATCTGGGGATATGAATTCTTCTTTAATAACCAAATTCTAAAAAGGATTATTAATATTCTGAGCGTATCTTCTTTTTTCTATAACATTTTCACCAATTTCTTGGACATGATTTTACCTCACGTTGGTTTCAAAACTTTAAAAAAGTAAAAGAAGAAAGAATGCTCTGTAACATCTGATATATCACCTTATTATGTTTATTTTACTATATAATTAAACTATTTAACTTAAATGTGCTATTATTGGATTTCCTATTGTAATTTAATTAGACTGACTAAAGTAAATTTAAAAAGAATTTTGAATGTTGTTAAAATTTTTGTATAATAACGTTAAAGTTGAAAATGAGAATTTTTGTTTGTAGAGATATTTCAATAATTTTAGTTTTAAAAGATAGGTTTACATCTAAAACGAATGTTCCAATTGGAATTATGAAAATCGGATAACCCGTTTAGAAGATATGAGCAAAATTGTATAAACGTTACAAATAAATAAAATTAAATTACAATTGCATAAAATTTTATTACATGAATAATAATAATAATTTTAAAAATATTATACCTATTACGTGTTAAAAGAATTCACTTCGCAATTCAAAAAGTAATATTATTGAAAAATATTCTACATTGCGAATTGTCAGCGCCCAGCGGCATTGCGATGTGATCTCAATATCAAATGCAATTTTAGAATAACGAAATATGTACATTTTCTATTACAAACATAATATTATATGAACCGAATTTATCAAAATTATTTCTACATTTTTTTTATTGATAACACTAAATCTCGTGAATAGTTACTAAACAGAAAATAAAAACCGATTTCCAATCACTAAAATGTAAAAAATAACTAAACGGAGGTTTTCATTTAGAATAGATACCTAATCAGATATTTTAGAAGTCTGTGCCAGCCGATGCAAAGGAAATCTAATATATTTCGATACGTAAAATACATAATATTTACCTATTAGATATTCAAATCTTAAAATATTGTCGGTAGTTATTGTATATTAACTGTAATAAACAAATTATTAAAGCTATAGGTTTGAATTCCGTGTAGAGCTGTGTTAAGAATATTTAATTTTAAACCGACTTCTAAAAAGGAGGTACTTAATTCGCGATATAACACAATCTAGAACACAGCTTTACGCGATCGATTGTCTTATGTTTTTTTAAATACATCGGTTATATCATAGGGGTCCCCTATATATATATTTCAAAACAATATATCCATCTCTAAGGATAGACTTTTGAGTGATTTTGAAATCGGTCCACTTTTTCAGTAAAAAAATATTTTTATTCTACTTTAACTACGTGGTTCAAGATTTTTTCTAAACAAATACAAATAAAAAAACCACTTATGACTTCGAATTTGTATTATAATCTCATTATACGGTTAGATAAATACGGTCATAACGCTTAACTTAATTTCACTTATTTTTGTATCCTTTTCTATTGTTTCCTGTAAAAGATCACTTACAATGCCACTGCCTTTGCATATCTCTTTAATTGCATTTTTTTGTATGTACCATTTTAGTGTAGAATAAAGTGTTATAAATTTAATAAATAAATAAGCATAACCGCGAGCATGAGCTAGTGTAGACATACTCATGTATAAGCCGTTAATTATACCAGTTTCGTTATTGTTGTTAGTCGCTTTGTGCGGCATCCTGTGCTTTGTGTCTGGTTTGTTGACATCATTGTGTTATTTAGCCATTACATTATTTCGGTTAAAATTTATATGACCAAATGGATAAAATGTAGTAAAATTTTTATTTTATATTTTCATTCGGTCTTTGCCAGTAAAGGTGACCTCCTGTTTATATGAATGAGAGCGGAGATCATTAAGTTAAAATATCTATTTTGCTTAGCCGATTGATGTGATATATAAGAGTATCATTAGGCTAACTAAAATCCCACGTGGTTAATCAGCCAAATGTTCTAATAACTATATATTCGATTTTATTTATCTATATACTTAATTATATATGTGTGTATATATATATATATACATATACATATATAATTAAGTATATTTGTTTTGTGTATATATATATACACACAAAACAAATGTACACTTAATTTTTACTGTACAAGACATGTCCGTTTAAAATTGTGGCAAGAATGCTAGATGCATTTCCCCGCTAAATAGTAATACCGATTCTTTGTCGAAAAACGGGTCAGCTCTCTTGTCACCAGTAGAGGCGCTAAGACGAGGAGTTATGTCTTTTAAGAAATGCTTAGCACTTTGACTCCTTGAGCCATGGGTTTATACACCAAATGGTATTAAGGGCATAATAATTTTGACTAAGGGACGCGTATTTACGAATCTTATTCGGTTATTTTCAAAATATCTACCACAAGCATTAAATATTTCTATTATTATAATTACTATTATTAGAAATAAGATTTGTGTGTGAGTATGTTTCTTATAACGTCACTCAGAATGACATCAATGTTTTGGAGCGAAATAGGTTATTTTTTTATTGACGTATCTTGTATTTACCATACAAGAGGAGTTGAGAGGAAATAAAGAGGAACTAAAAATCAAAATAAATCCGCGAAATAATCCGAAAAGATAGTTTTATTTAAAATGTCAAATAGTCGCGTAAATCTAAGAAAGTATTATAGGAAATAAAGACTTAAAAAAATGACTTCCATTCACTAAAATGTAAAAAATAACTAAACGGGGGTTTTCATTTAGAATAGATACCTAATCAGATATTTTCGAAGTCGCCGCCAGCCAAAAAAAAATTCCGACGAATTGAGAACCTCCTCCTTTTTGGACGTCGGTTAAAAATAGTTATTAAATGTCGTGTTTGTATAGATTCACATTGACAATATTTGAATTTTAGAAGCTTTTCAATTGGTACATAAAAAAGTCCAATCAAGTTTGCTTCAACACATTTTTTTAAAATATCTACTAACAATACGTTTTCCAACTTTATTTCATATGGATGTTATTCGGTAGGAATTGGGATAATTGAATTTGCGAAATTATTTACTGTGAATGCGTGGAAACTATCTGGCATTACGCTTGTTGCCTTTATTGGCATGTACATTGTTATCTGCTATTTTATGCAAGACTAGTTACTGTCCTAAGTATCATGTTGCAATTTTTAAACAGTCTTATGGCATAGGTTTTCGTATATCGTATTCAGCCCTTTTTAACCCACTGCTGGGCACGGATTTGTGTACCCTACCTCCCTTCAAGACGAGGAGGATCAGGCCATTGTCCACCACGCTGACCTAGTGCGTGTTGGCGGACTTCACGTATCTTTCGAAAACTTTCTAGGTTTTCTCAGATATACAAGTTTAGTTACGTTGTCTTTCTACACTGTAAGGCAAATTGTAATCGTGTTATAAATAATTGGCACATGAAATAAGCGAGACGGGTGCGAGAGCCGGGATTTGAACTCGGCTCACATTGTTTCCCAAGCAAGCGCGTTACCACTGGGCTACCATCGTCTTCGGTTTTATATAATGGAATGAGGAATTAGCTATTTGTCTCAACAGCATACTAGCTACGTCTTCGCACAAAGTTATGTCATATGTCAAGTATATGATTTTAATAAGGAAATAATAGAAATGATGTAATAGTTTTTATTTAATTTCAATTTTAATAAAAAGTGTATAAAACAAAGTAAAAGTCAAACATTTTATAAATGGCCCCGCTAAGTTTTTATAGTTCTATAGAATTGAGCCATAGAAGGCACCAAGTGTTATTCGATCTGGGGCTGATTGTGAATAATTAATTTTATCTAAAAAGTTACATTACGCTCATAAATTATGTATTTTATCAACTCTTAAGGGTGGTTTATTAAGAAAATGTGGGATGGGAGTGTCTCGAATAGCCTATTAATTATAAAAAGTAGGTGAGGTTATCATGTAACAAACAAAAAACATACACATTTGAAAGACTTTGAATTGACTACCTCATCTTTCAGGTTGCTCATCAGGTTTAACTGGTTAGTATCCTTATCTTCAGAAAAAATTTAACTGTCAAGCCTCTTATAAGTATAATGGTCTTTCAACAGCCCAGCATTTTTATATACCTACTACGATATATATACATCACTTTAAAATCGTTTTTCACATAGCAAAGTAAAAAAAGTTACGCTTTGCTTTATATTATCGTATCTAAAATAACATTCTGTATAATCTATATAATCTCTATAATAAAATTATAACTGATCGATGTCTGTACATGGAAGATATTTGAGAAAAACTTTTATTGGGCGTATTTATTAACGAGAACCCAAAAAAATGATTTTAGAATTTTTGTCTGTTTGTGAATCAAAATCTCAGAAACGACTTACCTATTTGGGTGCAGTTTTCACTAATGTATCAGGTAAGCTTCA